ACCCTCTGATTGAGATAGAAGGACTCCCCAGCATCTCCGTTCCTACTGTATCTGATGAAGGGAGTGTTGACTCTCAAAGACCTGAACATCCGGTTGGTCTCTAAGGTGCTCTTGGACTCGAATTTACCTGTTTGCTTGCATGGGGGAGGGGAGGCACTAGTGTAAGTACAATGGATCATAGAGGCCATATAGTCCAACCCCCCATTCAATGCCGGATCAGTCTAAAGCATCCCTGACTAGTGTTCAGCTGCTGCCCGAAGGCCTCTGGTGAGGCGGAGCTCACCACCTCCCCAGGCAGCCAATTCCATTGCCGAACCACTCTTAACCAGTGTTCCCTCTAAGCTGAGTTTGTGTGAGCCAGCTCACAGTTCTTTAGCCTCCGGCTCACACATTTTTGTCTCAGCTCAGGAAGGGATGGGGCTCCAGAGCAAACTGATTTATGCAGTAGCCAAATCGCTCACTCACAACTTTAATGCCAGTAGCTCACAAAGTAGAATTTTTGCTCACAAGACTCCACAGCTTAGAGGGAACATTGCAACTGTATTTTTTTTTTTTTTTTTGCTGATATCCAGCCAGGACCTTCCCGCCCTTAATTTAAAGCCATTCCCGCGAGTCCTCTCCTCTGCTGCCAACAGGAACAGCTCCCTGCCCTCCTCTAAGGGACAGCCCCTCAAATCCTTCAAGAGAGCCATCCTGTCCCCCCTAAACTCCGTCTCCTCCAGACTGAACATTCCCAAGTCCCTCCTTCCTTTCCCCACAGGACTTCTTGGTCTCTTGAGTCCCTGCTCATCTGCACCTGTCCCATTTGGGTCCACATGGAGCAACTAAAAAGCTTTACAGATAGTTCAGCTCCCCGATTCACAACCTGCCATGGGGCAGTCCAGAATTCTACTTTTTCTGTGTAATTTGTAGAACTGAAAATCATGGAACAAAGTTTGAGTCCAGTGGGCACCTTTAAGACCGGCAATGTTTTATTCTGGGTGTAAGCCTTCGTGTGCGTGCACACTTCTTCAGATCCATGCACACAAAAGCTTATACCCGGAATAAAACTTTGTTGGTCTTAAAGGTGCCCACTGGACTCAAACTTTGTTCTGCTGCTTCGGACCAATACGGCGACTCGCCTGAAAATAATGGAGTGAGACTCAGCACACAAATTAGTTGTGATCAGTGTTCCCTCTAAGCTGAGTTAGTGTGAGCTAGCTCACAGTTTTTTAGCCTCCAGCTCACAGATTTTTGTCTTCGCTCAGGAAGGATGGCTGCAGAGCAAACCAATTTATGCAGTAGCCAAATCGCCCGCTCACAACTTTAATCCCAGTAGCTCACAAAGTAGAATTTTTGCTTCCAAGACTCCACAGCTTAGAGGGAACATTGCTTTTGATAAAGCCCCGTTGATTTTGATAGGACTTGAAATACAACTGACTTACACTGGGGTATGCAGGAATTCTGTTTCTTGCCACTCAGTGTTAAACTTGTTCAATTTAACATCTCCCTTTTTTTGTGGGGGGGGGGAGTTTCCTTAGAAGTTAGTAAGGGATCGATGTGGATTTTCCTTTACTGCTGAATAAGTTCGGATC